ACTGTTTTCGGACCGTTTTCTGTTTTCGATTTTTCAAAACAATGAAAACGCGTTCTCTTTCCCGTTTTCGAAAATAAATTTTTGAAAACAAAAATCAACTGAAAACCCAAAACTTCTTTTTAGACGTTTTGGACGTTTCCTTCACAAAATTAAAAAACGCGGAAAACAGGTTTCTCTCTTCATTTTCCCTTTCTTCCTCAGCTACGGCCTACGGTTCCACTCCTCCTTCCATCAATGACTTCCACCACCTGCCACCTAAGCTGCCAAACCACCACAACACCGGCACTCCCTCACCTCTCTCTACAACCTCCGACCATCGCCTACCCACCGATCGCAGGAAACAACCCCGTTTCCCATCCAAAACGCGAGTGCATTCACGGTTTTTTCGCCAGTTACTTCCACATCTGGCCNTAACTTCCACATCTGGCCACCCTCTTGATCGTGCAGCACCACCAAAACATTTCTCACAACTAGGCGCATCTATTTCTACCATGTGTCAGCCTCAATTTCGTCCGGAATCGGCTGAGCTTGTTGGAGCAGTCCAGTAAGTGATTTCCGAGCAGTTTGAAATTTTTTTGGTTTTTTGTTCCAATTGTTATGAAATTTATTTTGTTTTGCATCTATTTGATGATATGGATTTGGTTTTGTTTCCAATTTTTTGAATTTTTGGTTCAGTTAATTTTGTGCATAAAGTGTGAGGTTTCAGGGGAGATGCAGTAAAGAGTGTTTGATGAAATGCCTGAAAGGAATGTGGTGTCATGTGAAGACTCTGTTGCAGTGTATTTAGCTTAGACTGGAGCATTTATCATCTAGATTTTGAAGGTGATACACATGGGATCTGTGGGTGAATGTGAATTTATTTGTTTAGACTGGAGCATTTGCCAATTGACATAGGGGATAGGAATTTGAGATACAAAGCTAGACTAGATGATTTATTTGAAATAGATCTGAATTTCTATTAGCATGTAGATGAGATGTATAAGTATATAAGATGTAACTTATTCTTGAAATGCCCATCAAAGTTTTTTCTAACACAGAAATGAATTTGAACAAGGGCTATGATACTAGCTTCTTATGTTTCTACAGAATTGTGTGGGTTATTGATTATAACCAAAACTGTGGTGTCTGTAGTGTGCCATAGCAATAAGTTGAAAGGTTAACAATGTCAATTCATGGTTTGCTAGTGACACAAGAGAAGGAGGGAGAAAGGTGTAGAATGCACCACTTTGTTTTAAGGCGTCAAACTTCTCACACCCTCTCCAATGATGAATCTTCTAAGAGATGGAATTGTAAGAGAAGTTGATTTTGGTGTATATAGATTTATCATGATAATAGTCCAACCATTAAACTCTCAAAGAATCCAGTTTGACATGGGAGGAGCAAGAACACACATGAAATACCATTTCCTTCGTGATCTCACAAAAGGAGGAGTTATTGAATTGGTTCATTAGTGAAGACCAGGTGGCACATATTTTAACCAAGCCTCTCAAATTGGCTACACTTGTGAAGTTTCATTATTTACCTGGAGTTCGTTTGATTTCTACTTTAAACTGATTGTATAACATTCAGTTTAAGGGAATGTGTTAAAGTTTTATTTGTTTTATTATTAGTTAGCAGAATAAGTCTTTAATAAGTCTTTGTAGTCTTTGGAATCACATCAATCGGAGGCATGGAGAAATAGTTTTTCGTAATTTTAGAATGCTATGCTATATTTACCTGAGAGCAGATAAACTTTATTTATTTTTATGCCATTTGATGTTTTTTGTCATTTATTGGTTGCAAATGAGTTTTGCTAACACAGGTTTCATTATCAGCTACTGAATGGGTGAAAGGGAAACAAATGGAGGAAGTCCTATCCATTAAGAATACGTAAGTTGGATCCCTTTGTTGATTCTACCTAATACCTCACCCAAGATTTGTATTTCCTTTTGGGTCTTGTCCAGTAACTCAGAGCTTCTTTTGGTAGTTTCGATCGCTTTTATTGTTCTTTATATTTTCCCATTTTGCAAAGTGTCCTGTGAGGTTTTGAACACCTAAAGACAATAATT